CAGACCGGCCCTCCGTTGCAAGTGACCCGTTCACAGGCTAACTGCCTTACCAACTATTGCCTCAGCAGCGTTCTTGTAAGTTGTTTTTGCAATAATTCGTAAAATGTTTGGTATTATATAATTCTGGAGGTTTGTATTTTTCCGCTGCTGAAGTTTACATGTTTGCCTTCTCAGATAGGTAGTTTAACGTTTATATAACATGGCCAGTGAGTGACATCGCTTTCCCATAGCTGTCAACTGGAAATAAAAAAAAAACACATTACGATAATTCTTCTCGAAAATGTTCTCATTTTTACATTTCTTATTCATATTGTTTAACTACAGGGTATTCATGAGATTACTCAACGTTTCAATGAAAGTTTCACTGCTTAAAAGAGAATCTAATATGTTTTTCCAATACGTATTTAGATCGTATGTTTTTATTCAAAAAACTAAATTATTCATAAAAGAATCGTGCTATTCATTTTCCTCACTATAGAATCATTGGTGGTGAAAAACTTCCGCAGTTTTCACAAATGAAACAGTCCTGAGTACTACCATCGTGGCATAGCAGGTCAACGATATCATATGAGTATCGAAGTCCGTTCACGGCATTCAAATTGTGCGAACGGCCATTCAAAGCAAGCAAACAGTCACAATATGATTTTGTTGACCGGAAACGGCGAAAATGGGGGTAAGAGCAACGGCGATTGTCGTCTCATGAGAAAACGATAAGACAAGCTGTAATCATCATTCGCCGTAAAAATTACTTCACGAACTTCATACATCTGTTAGGAGTACAAAAAAGTTCTCAGCCTATGCTCTGACTGTTCTAGTACGCGCACTTTTCTAAAGTATCGCCAACTTGCTTTTTGGTTCACTGTACGTTTTTAAACGCCCGTTGCCTAAATCTATCAGCCAACAGAGTAGACATATAATTAAATCGTCATTTTCGGTTCTCTGTGCTGTTTACGTTTTAAATGTAAATGCCTACTGTTTGTGCAGCTGAATATATGCATTTGGATGATCGTGCAGTGTATGTTGAGACGTGCAGTGTATGCACAATTTCCTGTTTTGAAGCTAGCGAAAAGTTTTTGTTCAGTTGAAAATGACTCGACTCTTTCAAATTACCCGCCCTATGTGGCAAAGATATAGCGGATTCCTCATGAACTGAATTAGCTAACATGATACCACAGCACACTCGCCTTAGCAAGTTGGTTAAAAATAATCTCTGTATCAAATCGTTACTAACACGACATGTGAATTTCCTACTTTACCAAGTCCAAAATATCATGGACTTTTTTCGGCAAGCGAGACATTCATAAAAAGAATGTCTGCCTGTGTGTTTGTTGGAACATGAAATAAGGGTTCTACTATAAATTTCGCAAGATCTTCGTAGGAAAATTATTCTTATACGACGACATGAATGTCAACGAAACTGGGCACTTAGCAATCACACCGCATATTCGTTTGTTTTAGAATATCGGCGGATAATTGAGAACTGCAGACTGGCTTCTCCCACACGCAACCAGGCAGATGCAAGTAGAAGCTAGATCACCAGATAGCGTTATTTGTACTTATATGCAGCCAATACTAAATCAGGAGAAATCTCGGACGTCGTCGTGCTTTACCCTCTATTATCATACTTCGGCTATGATAGGCGCAACCTTGACCGCTTCCGAGCTTTCGTATTTTGGCCTTTCACTCTACAAAGGCTATTCGTACGACCAGTGCTTGTTTGCCATTAGCAGAAAGATAAGCGCTAAGAAGACCGGTATCGCATTTTTGGCAGAACACAGACCGCGGCGCGTTAACTATAGTCTCCTTATAAACGCGATTGTCTATTTAAAGTTGGAAACTGGGTCCGATAGCCTTCACATTATATACCTATATTTAATAGCGCTGTCCCAAAAACAAAAAGCGATTGTCATTACGCGCCTCCAAATTAGTGCCGTTTTACTATTGGTAATGAAACAGCGTACTTCATAATACATGTTCAGCAAACTCTTGCTCTGTATGATTTGTTACATCACTAGTCAGTCCGCACGAAACTTTTAAATAGGTCGAATGCTCAAAAATATCAAATAAGACACTATGACTCGAACTCATTGTGTAATGGTTTTGTCAAATGCAAGTGCCAAGGCCTTCTTCTATATGATGGCTGGGTTTCCTATTAAAAATCATTTATAACCTAGAAGCCTTTGTTCAAGTAATTATTAATCGTATAAAGTTATCTAAAATCAGTTTGGCTTAGTCCACATCAAAATTTAGGCCCAGGGGAAGTCAATTTGAGTGATTCGCGCGATCATTTTTTATTTAGAAAAAAGAGAGTGACTGAACGAACCATTTGCTGGTTCAGTGCAGGTTCAGTGATGGCAGTGGTATCTTTTTTTTCTTTTTTTGATGTTTAAAATGACTTTCGAGCTCTGAAATTCGCCGCTCTGTGTAATAGCTATTGACTAATCCTTCTGCGAAAACGCATAGGGCAGGTTTCTCTTATGTTAAATATGTTTATATATACATGCTGGTGTTTCAGGGCGGAGGTCAGGGCGGGGCAGCTGTTCCAGTGAGTACGGGCCGCAAACGACGGCACAGCCCTGAGCCATCGAATCTCTTTGCGCAACAAATCAGTGTAGATACAACGGTCCTCTTTCGTGAAAACTCTTATCGATCTAGCAATGAAATTAATAGAGACTTATTGTTGAATGGCCGTGATCACGGTTAGTCGTATGGATAAAGAAAGCAATAAGAAACGCTTAGTTAATTATTGGACTTGCGACTGTATCACGTATCGCAACTTACATGGCATATGCATAATAAATCCTGCTATACATGTTATGGCCTACATAATTGAAAGAGAAGTTGAAGGACATAAAAAAAGCTTAGCTGAGCTCATTGCCTCGAAACGATTACAAAGCTAGGCTAAACGCATAAAGATGGGATGCATCCATCGAAATTATTTGATGCGACGATGATTGCGATCGATGGAACGCATAGCGTATAATACTTAATCGACTGATCAGTTAGATGCGGTGACTCCTCGAAACAGAAACAACATTTTATTTCTCTAGATTTTTTCTAATCGGATTATATTATTCTAATTAGAAAACGTTCGAAATTATTTTTCAACTAAGCAAAAACAAAGAAGGTCTAAAGGAGTATTATGCCTCCAATTAAATTAAGCAAAAAGACACTTTTTAACAATGGCTTGCGCAGCTTCTCTGTCTGTGGTTTCAACATGAACAGCAATCAAACTTAGAAGCCGTGATGCTCTTTGTTCTCTAAAATCTCCTTCTTCTTACTTAAGATGAAACAAGCTTCTTGTAGCTCGTCGTCAGAGAATATCTAAAAACCAAAAAGATTTCTATTAACATGACAATTCGTGGTAGAAGCAAGTTATTATAGTTGAAAACTTTTTTGTTGCTTTTCACGACACCGCTCTATTCAAAATAGACGGCTACGAGTTACCCTAAGCCTACGGTCAAAATTCGTTAACAAAATCGTCAGATATAATAGCATACATTGATATTAACAGAGTATGAAGTTGTAAATATTACACATTTGCAATTTGAATAGATACCGTCAAACGTTGTTTAGGGGAATTTAACAATTGTGAAATCAGTTTTCTTACCTGCATTACTTCAGCAAGAAATTTTGCTGGTAACAAGTAACTAAACTTTTCACTGCTTGCTGTCTTTTCGACCATTTTCATTCCCTCGGGTACTCGATCTTTGATGTGCTTAAAGGAGTGCTCTAGCGCTTCGTATGCAGCCCGAAAATATTTCTGGATCTCAGGGCCGAATGCCGAAGCCTTCTCAGTGTACTCAATGAAAAGGGCTTCAATTTTTTCGGCGCCTCAATTTGAATAAATTTATTGAGAAAGTATTTCAAGCATTCGGTATCACCTTTCTCGTCATCGCCCACATCGATGAAATACGAAGCAAAGTCAAGCAGACATAGAATACCAATCGACAGGTGGATGCACACATTGTTCGAAAGGACGTCCAAGAGCGCCAAAGTGTTCCAGTAACTCAGCAGGTAGTCAGATACTGTGGAATATTTTATTTATATATAAGCATTGCGAAGTTCAAATCTTTACACTTATTGTATTCGGCGCCATCATAGTAGACCGGACACATCAACTAAACATTTACAATCCGTACTCCATCAGAGCTGTCACGGCAATATCAGCATTATGTCCCAAGAAGTTTGTCAAACGAGTTCGATCGATCTAGTCATCTATAGTTATACAATGAAATATACATGTTTCATTACAAACATACCTGCAGGATTTGGATAGTATTGAATAGCTGAACGGCGTCTCTACAGTGATCTACAGCTTTTATTGTACTTGAAGCATGTTACAAGTTTTCTTGGTATTCAGCGTAAATCCTGGCAGATCGTTTTTTCTGGGCATATAACATCTAAAAGTTTGATGAGGCACAGATATCTCTTAATGGGTTCATTTGTGTTAGGGTGGCACCACAAAAAAGCTTTAAAAATTTATGAGATGCTAGGATCTCTGATATGCTTTCTGCTAGAATAATTCGTTATCGAAAGCCACGGCATGATAACCTCAATAATTATAACTAGCTTGCTTTAGGACAGGAACGATTCTCTTCGTTTGCTTGCAGTGAAAGACGAAAGTCCATTCTTCATTCCAACAGGCTTACTGGTGCGAACTTCCAAGTATTTATTAATATTTTATTGCAGAATTGGGTCATCGTAGTGTTAACATGGTATTCGGAGCGGTGTATTTCTTAACAAGTCTAGCGGTTTACGGCATGATAGATTCCTCACGAGAACGATAAAATAACGACTAGTGGTCGAGCGAAGTTGATAACGCGTAATGGATGCTACTAAATTAAACGGTCTAAATGAATCCGACATAATCAAAAACCCTAATTTTTCATGCCTCAGTTACTGTGACCGCGCTGATTTTTTATTAGAAAAACTATAAGCAATAATCCGTAGATTCGAGCCGTTTAGTTGTATTTTGTCTATAGGATGAATCTGAATGTATTTAATTTCATAGCCAAGATACTTTCAGCATTGCATATGACATACCAGCATAGTGTAAAATAACCGCGTTGCGTATTCGCAATGTGGTTTTTTTTACAAAAAAATTTTTCTTTGTGCATAAAGTTAATACAAACGATCTTAGATGCGCTAACTTATTTCACTATAGAGATGTGAATCGCCTTGTTGACAAAAACCAGTTTTTTATATTACAAGTTTTTGTATACTGTAAAACGACGTGAGCCAAAGTCGAAATTTTACACTTGGGATCCATTTCTATCTGACACTTAGTAATTCTTAGCATGAACATAAATCGTTTTGTAAAAATCAGCTGAATATTCCTGTTCTTAACAATCGATAAATCTGGCTACAGTGTTTGAGTAGCAGAAAGCTACGTTCTTGCTAATTATTATAGGCAGCACTAAAATCAAATTAAAAAAGTGCGCCAAGTAACGTCAGTTCCTAATACAAATGCTACGACCTACGAGGACATATCGCACATTAATGTTTCGCCGAAACCCGTATAGAGCTTTTAATATCCTTACTTATGTACATGTTGATACTACACATTTTAAGCACATTATACACAAAGATACCTTGGAAATTAATCCTTTTTGTATCTTATGACTCGAATTTTCTCAACCTTGTATTATCTTATCCCGATGGCAAATGGTATCGACTCGATTCGTTCGGTGTCAGAGCGATTTCGGCTGTACTGAGTGATCCTGCACGGTTATAAACGATTGTACAATCATCTGGTGTTTCACCACAAGTGAATATGGCCAGTCTCTAGCTCCATACGACAACTTGTTCGATAAACTTCGGATGAACCTTTGCGAGGTTGATATTGTACGGGAAGTAGTCGTGGCTAAAGGTCGTACAGTTAAAGCCTAGCATTGCAACTACATGACGATTCAGTCTTCCTAGCCTGAAACCCAAAACGCACAGAAGCGACACTTTATTTTACTATTTATCAGAATTAGTAAGGATATTCATAAAATAAAAATACGTAAATGAATTATGTATATGCAACATCGCATAAAACTGTATAGAATGAATTTAAACTAATTGACCAAATGGCTTAACATATCCCTTAAATGAAAGTACTATTGTGTACTGCGTTATTATTATCAGGAGGATTGGTAGACAAACTGTAGCTATCAAAGATGTCTGATTATGCCCTAGTGCTAATTTTCAATTATTCAACATACCCTGTTCCGGTAATATTGTTTAAGAATTGAAGATAAGACGGTCGAACGTTGTGTGGTTCCATGACAGAGTTAAATAACAAAAAAGCCGTAGATATTGTGTAGACGATCTCCGCTCCAAAGGGAACTTGCGGCAAATAGCCTTCTTTCATCGCCTTTATATAGAAGACCTGCAGCCGTAATAATTAAATGCAAAAACATTTGTCAACACGTCTCAAGCAAATTTTATGTTCTAAGAATGTTATATGCAAGCGATCTTCCACTTATTTTAACATACATACAATAAAGTTACCTGGTGTTCATGTAAATATATACTAGGCATTGCACGACAATGCATCGAGTATAATAAAGTATAGTTACCTATCGGTAATCAATAATTCTTATGCGTTGTTTTTATCATTATTATTACTATTTATACTACTACGTTCGGTTAATAACCAACCTCAGCTGCTTTCCAGAATAGATAGAGCGTGAGGCTGGTATTCCTCGAAATAGTTATCCATGTTCCAGCTAGCATTCCAGCAATACCTCGACAGACACTTTCGTCTATACCGCGATTTCTTAAAAGGCAGCGAACTGCGCGAAAAGTTGACACTGCTCCACCCAAGAACAATCCTTGACGAAAATAGGTTTCCGAAGCAAAAATTTTAACAAGTCTTGTACCTAATGTTATTGGGTCGGATACAACTGATGGTAAACTAGTTGCTGTAGAAATAAGGCCGCGACCCAGGTATCCTATGAAGAAAGGCTTCACGAAACCTCGTAGAATGTACATGATATGACTATCGCCGTGACGGCATCTTGATGGTGACGTTGCTAAAAATTCGTTTTTGCCGATAAGGAACTTCAATCCAGACGATACTGGATCTTTCCTACTCAGATCACTACAATAATAACAAAGAAAATGATTTACGCATAAAAATAGTCAAGACAGGCAACCTGTTTTTAGATCTAGTTTGTTAACAAAACATTGTTTGAATATCGAAATGGACACATGTTTTAGAAGAGATTACATTATACGCTTTTTCAAAGATAAATATCGTCTTACTTATTTCATATTAATTTCCAGTGAAACAGACGAAGAAAGGGGGTACAAGCTCACCTTGTCTGAACTTGGTAAGAAATACCTATTCAACAACGTTAAGCTATTTTATCAGAGGTGCTGAAATACTCTAATATGCTACACGTACCACTACTACTACTATTAGTTAACCTATCTTGTCTTCAACGTACTTGAGTATGAATGAGTGCCCCGCCAGTCCTGCTGAGAATAGCAAAATATCTCCATAAGGTAGCACAGGAGCTAATTTTCTAGTAACCAGGAAATTGAACAGAACTTCCGAAAGCTGCAATGAAAACAATAAATATCTTAATCGGCCACATCTATCCATCATTCTATAGTTCTGGCCTATGAACGATAAAAAACACGCGATCGACTACATTTAGCGATAGTGCGTTTTCCTGCCTACTAATGGTGCACAACTTTATATCAGGTCGTTGTTTTTGTTTTTTGTTGCAAAGGCTAATAACTCTCTGCACTTTCGTTGAGTATTTGCCTATAGTGCCAAGGATTTTGCCTATACAAATGACGATGCAGTGAGCATAAGCACGTAATGATGTGAGTGGTCTAATTTGTAGATAAACCTATAAATAGCCTATTTACCAGATTGAGCATATAGAGCGCAAGCACTTGACGTCTTTCAGGTCGTTCGACGAGGATTGCTAGAAAGGAAGCGAACAGTCCAGATACAAAGCTTGACTGCGGCACGTAGAACCGATCCGAACTGTGCCTATTGAAGAAGATAATTATATTGCGAAAATAAACCAGAACACTGTGAGAAGGCTGCCATATGAGGTTCGATAGCGACACATTTACACGTGAAGTATGTGGATACATGGGATGAGGTAATGGCTGGCTGGCAGGCAGGTAGGTAAAACGCAAATCTGCAGCATACGAATACTGTTAATTTTGCAATTAGTAAAATGCCAAGCTTATAGTTTCAATTATGAGTGCGCGTTTTGATTGTAAACCAGTAACAAGCAGCACCATCGAATTTCTTATGAACTTGATTGCAGTACACTATTCTAGCGATTAGCCAAGGTAATGACAATTTAGGACTCAATGCATTCTAAACATAATTATACGTAAATACAAGATATCGAGTCAGATGCCAATATATCGGTGTGTATTCCCACTAACAGACTAGTAGTTAATACTACTTTAACTTGGAAATACTGGATAACAATATTTTCTTTAAAAGGGCGTACATTTTAGGAGCTATATATATATATATATATAGAAAAGCCGTGAGCTGATTTTAGCAATTAGAGTGTGACATGATATTAGAACTCCTGGTCACTTATAAACGCAATAAAAATGTACTAACGTATCTTTTGCGGTTACGGAGACCTTTGGAGATTTGTGTATATCTACGATCCTTCGACTTTACTCTTTACAGCAGTTATTGAGCCGTCTCCTTTGTTTACTTGCCTGGTCTTCAACATAATATTAGTTAGCTTCAATAATTATTAATGGGGAGCTCTGTTTATAAACAGCTTTCGCACACAGTTATGCTTTTTCTTAAGCCATCTTTTGACGTCTTCCACAATTCGCTGAAGTTTTCTACCCATTCACTCATCATATCCTACCAGAAATTATATATCAAATATATATGTGTCTAGATATGTATGTGTATATATATATGTGTGTGCGTGTATTTTGATAGAGAATGACACAAACAAGGGGCGGAGAACGTACCTGAATACACAGATGAAGAAGAGGAAGAAGAAGACATTATAGCTGAGAAAAAGAGTCGATTGAGCCGTTGATTGAAGCGTCTGCCAAAAAGCGTTCAGCGACACCTTTCGTGATAAGCCCAATTGAGCAAACTGAAAATTAAGCCATAAGCATATTGTTTACTTATCATAAATACTAATAAAAAACGAATAGCGACGCAGCCCTTTTGGACATTTTTTATAGTGGTTTTGTAATAACATATAAAAAAAAAAAAGAAAAATACTGACAAGATAAAGGATCCCGTAGATCTTCATGGATTCGCGCACGCACGACAGAAAGACGTACAACCAGGCATAACTGCATGTCTCTGACCAGGGATGAGCAACTTCGTAGCAGTGGTACGGAAGTGACACCATAAACTTAGATAGAACTCCCATGGCAGCTATGGTTGTAGCGGCTGGAAAAGCAGACGCATACAGTTCATAAGAAAGCGGTCGGGGTAATGCTTGGAAATCAAATGGAGATATGAATCTTGAAATGCCAGCTTGAAATGCAGCCAGAGCAAATAATAACATAGGAGATAGGTAAGTAGGCTCCGCTCTAATATTTTAACCGTTAAAGGCTCATTCAATATACACCTTGTAGCAATTCACGTTACTTAAATTGTCATTTTAACTTACAACTACCTTCATGAATGGTATTAAGGTCGTTTTAGTGATACTTTTCCATGATATATTATAACTTGTCCCGAGTATCTATTGAAAAATGCAGCAAGCTTCCGCCAACTTGCCATGTATGATCTAGGTACGAGCATATAGCTAAATAATATTTCGTATCTCAAAAAACACCTCGATTACCCATATGTCCCCGTTCTTATTAGCTCATCTATATTTGATAACTGTGAAACCTTCTATTCCGATGCCCCATATTGTCTCGGTCAAACTGACCGATACCAGCTATTAATTTATGTTTATATATGTCAAAAACTAATATCTCTTTTTATGATTACCTCTTAGACTACATTGCACAACCAGGTATGATTCAGTCACCCGCAACATAGTCGACCCAGTCCGCTAAACCAATCATCGAAATACTGAGTGCAACAATCATATGAAAAAAAAATCACAATAGCATAAACCTAATTTGGATTGAGTGACTTTATACGGGGCTTTTGCCTTGAACCTAGTAGGATACAATTTATTTGCCACCTTGTGATATTAATCCCAATAAAAAAAAGCCGATTTCACTTTATACAGTAGTAAGACGTTGCACTGCCGCAAAATTATTCTTAGTTATTTGCAAACCAGCTCTGTCCTTTTTTCTTCGTTGCAATCCGTGCATTTTGGTAGATTAGCAACGCTTCCTTATCCATATCGACAACGCATGTAATAAGGAGCGCAGAAACCTACCGTTCATCCTCATAATTGGGGACGGTTTCTGTCTTGGCATCGCCAACTATCGCAAAACAAAGGCGTTGTTATAAGTCCTTGTGCACTGAGTAAAGAACTCATGATTATAGTGCGTTTTAGTTGGCTCAAATAACAAGATTGTTGGTGCACCACTGGGGACATACGAGCATAAGACAAAATCTAATCACACCAAAAAAAATAGAGCACTCACTAATTGAAGTAAGCAGCAAACTAACGTAAAACGGGGGACAACGATGACCAAATTCCTTATTGTTTTAAGCAATACAACGTCAGGTGAAGGTCTCCGCCAGCGTATCCTGCAGCACAGGACTAGCTCAACTAAATTGCTTCTAGCAACAGTTGTATATAAAGCCCTGGAACGGTTGTCCTGTAGTCAAGAAAAACATAGAAGTAAAAGTGATATTAACAGTTCTCTTTACTTCAGTAAATCTTCAGTATTTAATAAAAGTTAACACTGATTTGACGCCTATGACGGAGCGAAACCGATGAAAGAGTGGATGTTTTGAGAACAATACAGTCTGAGGAATTGCATCGTAGGTATGATATCCTCCATGCTATCGCTGTAGAGAGGTAGCAGTTCTAGCACTGATAAGCTGGCAGCAAACACAATGTTTCTACTCTGAAATCAACATATTTTAGATTTGGTCTAATAATGGAGCACTAATGTTGGCAACAAAAATTAACAATTACTCTGTTTAAATAAAAAAAAATATATAAAAAAAGAAATTTTTAAAAAAATACTCTGTTTTTGCTAACTATCTCCTTCTTTTTTTTTTTTATAAAGTAGTTCCTGTGAGCTAAACAAATGTATAATGTGCAAATTTATCATTATCGACACTGCGTGGCCAATGAATAAAGTTACAGTTTATAAATTGTCTCGGGTAACTTGTAAACAGGTGAAACTTCTATTCTCGCCGTTGGTAGAACAAATATTTGTCTATGGTAAGTGTTTTAGTGATTTTGAATAAAACAAGATGGACATCTTGTCATGAAATTTTAACTAGATTGTGTTTCAGTACCTTATTTCGGATGGCACGACGCTAGCGCAGGTCTTTATTAGCAGGGCGGATTTGGCTCAAGTACTGCGGTTATTCCAGAAATTTCAAGTAGACAAATTTGTTCGTCCACACCTTGATAGAATATTGGTAAAAATAAAATATTTAGAAGACGAAAATGTACTTATATTGCACATCTAAAAAAAATAGTAAATAAACAAATGACGATAACACTATAGGGAAAATCTTGTTCATCACATTCAACTTATGAAAAAAGAGACAATTTGTAGTTTTATAGATTTAAAGATGTTGCGGATCATGTAACTTATATTTCTCAACCTTAATCTCTGGTGGGAATCAATATTAAAATATGTTAATAATGGTCATGTTTCTAATCGAAACTTATGCGTAAAAACATACCTAGCAAATTAATCAATATGCATCCGTTATCAGTTAATTTTTCACTTTATTTCTAGCATTGTTATTCACTCTGAATTATATTCTACAACTGATATTTTGTAGCGTACTTTGTTCCGTGATATCGAACATACAAATGGATAAGCCTGACATGCAAAGTAGTCTGTACTGTCAAAATATTTACATAGCTACGTGGGTTAAGGGTTGTCACTGATGATGGTAAATATGGTTTGTTAAAAAAAATACACTGAACTGAAAACACGTGTTTCAAGCTGAAACATCTGGTTATTAGGAACATTATCTGTATAGTGATAGTAATCGGTTACCCACACACATGATTGTTCGAAGTAAGGTCCATTGTCATTGACATTTTTCAAGTGATTATGCTACTTCTCCATAGAACGGCACAAAAACATAACCTTCGATGATGACATTTCAACATCGCACAAGTGGCTACGAATTCTAAAAAATCGGAAAACATTTCGACCAACGTACATGTATTCAAAACATGTATGTCAACAAAACAAGGTCTATCGCGACCTGCAAGCGCACTACTAATTAACTGAATAATTAATTACCAGGTTGATTATCTCCTTAGAGAGTTATAATTCTGGTATAATTACAGCTGGTTTTACTGCCTCAGTTACGTAGGACTTTTTGCCAAATTGCTTTGTATTAGCATCTATCGCATGGCATTGCTCCAATAACAGCTCTCTACCAACGTCTATAAGCCTCGTTCAACTCCATCTGATTGATATCGAATCCTAGCTTGAGGAGGACTCTCATCAACGGTTAGGTGACGAGAAACAGCTGATTCTGGAGGTCACGTGATTCGCTGCTAACCAATCCGCGAGCAGCGATTTGATTACAAATAGATGTCAACCTTTCGCATGAATTTATAATAAAATTGGTCATAAAAGCTTGTAGTAGACTATAGCCTGAAAGAGTGTTAGGGTCCGTTTGCAATTTGATTGGTGCAGCGTGCCAAGACAAGCTTGAAAAGGCACGAATCAAATCTTAATGCTATCCCGTGATCGAAAACTCAATGTGACGCTTTTGTTTGTAACTGGCGCCATAGAATTGGATCCACGCATCGGATGGTCTCGAACGATCATTGATGAAACGGCCTTGCTAAATACCCCGCAAATAGTGACTTTAATATATAGAATTAGCCTGAAATATGCTATCAAAATGTCCCACTCGCCACAAGTGAAACAAAACAATGCGGCTGCCTCCGAGCGCCCACCTAGATCCCTAATTCAGCGCATTGTTGTAACTAATAAAACCGTGTGAATTGTTTTCTATGTGGACGCACTTCTATGGTGTCTAGCATGAAGAAGTAAATTTTCAGTAAAATAATCATCTGTTAATTGTGTTTTCTCGGCGAATCGCCAAGGGACGCGCATCGGTATGGTTGGGCGGAGTGATATACGCGACAGCCATCAAGCCTCTTCAACTCGACCCAACGAATCGAGCAGGCGCTGCTAGCAGGAGCGCTGGTAGCACCAAGCCAAGGAGAGCTAGCAAAGAAGCTTGAAGTGGTTGGTAGATTCGACGGTTGAGAGTGGTGTGCGGTGTGCTTATTGGATTTTTCTTCGCCAAATCGAAATTCAAAATGTGAGTGTTGACGCCCGACGTGATCAGGCATCGTACAGTGCGTGCGATTGACGTGCGTGTCGTGCAATTTCCGCGTGGGGCTGGAGGAAGCGAAAAGTTGTGCCGGGTGGTCTTGGTAGCCCGCTCGCTGCCGGATGGCGGTATCGATGATAATGGTAGCAGTGCTGTGTTATAGCTGGGCTAGCTGCTGATGGTGCGCAGTGGCGAAGCGAGGCCTACGCGCCGTGGCGCCCCCTCCCCCCAATCAATATCGGGCGACCCGGCGGCGAAATTTCGACTATAACTTAGGCGTTTTCGACGCGAAACTCGTCTCTAGTAATGCGCGTGTCCTTAGCGCGTCGAGTGTCGCGGACGTCACAAGTAAGATTCGGTTTGCAATTGATGACCACGGGTTTGGCCGGGTCCGTCTATGTCTGTTGTGTATTCTGTGTCTGTTTGTTGCCTTGCCATGCAATGCTACGGGCTTCTGTTGGCGTTGCTTTGGGGGAAAAACGCATTACAGCAAGCGGCAAAGGTTCCTGATTACGCAGTTACTTTCTCAGTCAATTACTATGATCTATAGGCAGGCACAGATAGAAAGGCAAGACGCGGCACGCAGTCATCTTGTTGTTAGTTGATCGGCGTCCCCGGCGAGTGCGGCGATACGATGGCGGGAACAGCGTCTAGTTTCGTCGGCGGGCAATAGCGGACCACGTGCGTGACACGGCGCCTTGTCACCGGAATTTGGACGTTTTCGCAGTAATTTTCGTGCTGTACGTAAGCCTAGATGGGGGGCCGAAGCCATACAACGGTAGTGTGACACCCTAAGAGCGGCCAATTGGCAGCACTAGGCGCGAGGTCGACGCGCCAACGGCTCAGACATGGCCCTCACATAGCGGTCGCCCATCTTATTTATATTCTATAGTAATATATAGTAATATATAGCCGAGGCCTACCTATAGTTGACCGTCATTGCCGTCGGCGACGGCAGTCGTACATGAAAATCATAATGGTAAAAGCATGAGCGTGCTCATAACCCCATAATAATAATAATGATAATGATCACAACAAGCACAGGAATAAGGAGTTCGTAGATGGGCTACAATGTGCTGCTCTTCTGCTATAGTGGGTGCCTCATTGATGCTAGTGACTATTTTTCGATAGCAATGACGACAACGCTGGCCGATTTGGCGACGGTTACTCATTTGCCTATTATATGGAATGTCGGCCATCTGTCCACCTTGCCGCATCGTTTACTCCGCTGCAGCCCGCTCAAACGAGCGGTCACAACAGTTGCTTCCATTACCCCCACCCCCCGCACCTCCTCTTCCAAACCCTTCTATGCGCCAGCTCCTCGTGTTGTGTATCTATCACTGTTACACAAGATAGCATATGTGATTAGTTTTGGCATTATTGTGTTACATAATTTTCTATTTTTTGTAGAAGCTGGCGTAGTTTCGACTGTATACACATATGTGCTCGAAAGAGGGTTGCCAGAATGGCGTTGTGCTTTGTTTCGGGTGCGACTCCCAAAGACTGTTGTGCTCTCTCATTGAGTGTGCTTTGTATAGATGATCGCTGGCTCGCCCGCTCACGCAGTGGCTCACTCGGGCGGGATTGATAATAATCGTCACATAATAGCAACAGTAATAATAACAGTAGTCAAACTAGGAGCATACGCGTTAGTACAAGTAGTAGCTAATGTGATAATAATGACAGTTGTCGCCGTGCTCCCGTCAAGTCCTTTTCGTGCTCGTCTGATTAATTTTATGTAATTGCTTTGACCCGCTTGGTTTGTTCCTTCCTTCGTTCGTTTCGTTGTGCTGTCGTCCTGCAGTTGATGAAAATGATGACGATGTGAGGTGAGTAACGGCAACGGACGCTGCTGCTGTTGCAGGCGTCACTGCCGCCGCCGCCGTCGCCGTCGCGACTCCGCTGTGCTGTGCTGTGTAGTTAGGCCGGAGGCATCAGGCAGTAACAGCAACGCGAGCTGCAGCAGTAGGGACAGGCAATGGCACCCGTTCGTTTGACCGACCGATCATAAACCCGGCCGCTCGCCCTTCCTCCGTAGCTTCGATTGTTGTGGTTGTTGCTGTTAATATTGATACTTTCGCAGCGGCTGCGTGTTAACGCCGCAACTATTGACACAATTGTTACCGCGGATTATTACAGGGAGGAGAGCTACGAACCACGCGGCCCGGGTGCCGCTATGCTTATGTTATGGGTGATGTCGTTAATTTGACGTACGCTCTCTATGAACGTGTGCGAGTGCCTGCGTGCTCGGGAATGACCAGCGTGCTTTGATGGTAATGTTGCTACTGTACAGAGAGAGAGTGGTACGCAAGAAGTGCCCAGTGTATTGCGGCTGTAAAACCGTTCCGCCGGTACAACCGGCGACTGGGGAGGTTGACTTTTGCTCTATAATAGTCATCGTGTTATTGTTATGCTATTTATCATCGTTATGGCTGTGTTCACTGAGTCAGTCAGTTAACAGCACCAGCGCCAAAGGATGAACGTGGGAGGCAGCGGAGATCAGAACGGAAATGTGTAAAGTACCTCGACAATGATTCCTCCGGCTGCTTTGTGCATATTCAGTCTGTGTGTCACTGGGTTTCGCTACATATACATATAGAGGCCAGTACAGTTTTCTGCTCTCGGCCGCCCCTCCCCCTCGGCTGCCCTAATACGGGGCAAAGGGTTCGGGCAAATGAAAAGCGCACAGATGTCCTGGCAACCTAACGACACTGTGTAGGAACGGAAAAAGGGTTTGAAAAAAAATTGACGTTTTGTATGTACGTTCTATCTATTCCTGACAGAGCGGGCTAGTTTAAGTGAATCACAGAACAAGTAGAAGTCATGAAGTGGCGCCACACGAGGCTTCGCAACGGCCATTAAAGCCACAGTCGGTTCGGTACAATGTTGGCGGTCTGCGAGTAGAAACTAACGGACAACAACCATTCACATAGTGCATTTGGCTGCTGTTTTCGTTGTATCCCATCCTTGCCAGGTTAGGTTAGCTCTATCTGTGAGTAAATAAATTCAAAAATGGTACTGATTGCTACCAAGCATCAGAGGATTCCGAGCTATTATTAATGTTAGAGCAACAATCGATCGACTGATTTTTCCCGTCCCACCTGTTCTGCTTCACCTAGTATAGTCTATATAAATCCCTGTCTGGATCATTCACATGTTCCCATGTCAGAGCGCTGGTCAGAAGTATTAAAAGACGAAAGCCTGTGACTTTACAATGATCACAACCGATACGTTGATAGGACTAGGCGAAAATTCATTTGACCGTTGAGCATATACTCCAACACCTGCTGCACTGATGTTGTATCACATGACCGCCATTTATTATGTCAACATTAATAATATTATAATAACTGTTATTTTTATTGACGACATAATATTGTGCTATGGCATTGTGTGCACAGGCATTACTCCTTTTTTTATTTTTTTCGGCAGAGGATACAGTGTGCGACAGTTGATGTTGCTTTGTTGATGATGTGCTTAGGGCTATCTGTGTTTGTCACGCTACGCTAGTTGTTTTTATTAATTTAGTTAGCTACCGGTGAACTGTGTGTATTTTCTGTAAAGCAATCCGCGGCGGCGGCAGCAGCAATGGCCCCGGCGGCTATGTATATATATACACAAAAGTGCAGCTGTAGGTATATCAAATGATTCAACAGACATACAGACATGTAATCACATAGATGCACGAACCTTAACGACAGCTTGTCTGTTGTAGTCTTGTAGGTGTCGTTCAGACTGAGAAACCGGCAAGGTTGAATTCTGCTATCTCAGTCCATACGGCCAGCTGGCTGAATGGATGTCCCTGTTCCTGTTAACCGGGCGACGCTAGGCGCGCTTATTTCCCCACACTGTTGTGGCTGGCCGGATTGCTTTTAAGGGCTGATGTCTTTAGGCAACGGCGCTCTCTGTCGGCGTATACTGAATTACTATTACTAACCATAAATGTTGTTGTTGTTACTGCTTTTTCAATTGCTGGTAGTACTAGGGGTGTTATGCGCATTGATTGTGCTAAATTCAGTATCGATATTGTTTCAAAAAGATAAAGCCCCCTGATAATTGAATGGTGACATGTCTGCCGATGCACTTTAGGGGCTCACGTGAAATGCGTGTTGGATTCTGAGAGCAAAAATAGTGAATGGGAGCGCTAATCTTCCGATGTTATAATGCGGCATAACGACGCTTGCAGGCGTAAAGCTCGAAATATTATTACTTTATTATGGGTACTTGTGCTTTCCATCGTTAATGTCAGCAGGTACGCGCTAGTAGAAAGAATACAATGCGTTAGTAACGGTCGATACAAGTATATACGTATGTATGTTCACCACATAGCTTGCATAGCGTTAGTATGTGGCGCTTAACAGCAGTTAGCTCCGTTGACTAACCGTGTCACTGACTATGATCAGCATGATTACTAATACGACTAGGTTTATATGTGCAACGCATGCGAAGTGGCGAACGGTGAGGGTCCAGTAGCGTAGTGTAACAGATGGCGGGATTTCTACCTCCGCTGTCGTCGTCGACGTCTCCGCTACCGCTGTAGTGTCATACGTACGCTTGTTGCTGCTGCAGCTGCGTACGTTACGGTACGATTTCTTGCATTTAGTATCTATGATACGCCGCTGCCGGCAATAGCGGTGGCACACAAAGCGGCAATTTGTCGCTTTTATGCTGCCGTTGCGCCGCCGCCGCAGCTGCTTCAGTGTCGTCGTTGTTTGCGTCGTCGTTGCAGTTGCTGCTACTGATATTTACCGTAGCAACGGCAATCTCAATAATGATGTCAACCATGAAAATGCCGCTTCTCAATGCGCAACTCTAAAATTCACTATAGCTGGCTGTGCTTGCTATTTATTGTCCTCGTCATAGTTATTGGCCTGCCGCAGAAATGCGGGGTAGCACCATTTTGAAACAGCGGAATTGTGAGCCAACATCTAGGCACGTTTCGTGTGTGTCGCGTTCCTAATACACGTGATATGATAAAAAGATAAATAGATCAATCGATACATACTTAACTCACCGTATATTCTAACCCGCTTATGGTTATTACTGGTAGAAAATAGCGTTTACTTCTGTACCGCTTGAGCTGTTCATGTTCTAGGGGAGTCCTGTCATTTGCTATTATAACCACCATTGATCACTGTTCTCTGTACGTATGCGTGTGTGTGCAGCTTATCGCCAACTGCGGAAATGTTACCTTACGTATTCTTGTCCTTTGCTATAAGTTAGTGTTATTATAGTGGTTATTATTAGCTGGTAACAACAGTAGCTGAGATAACGGCTAGTGGCGATGAGATTGATTGTGCCTACATGTGCTGTAGCGCCAAAAAGCGGTCAATCAACGTGTTGAACCTCGTAAATTTTTTTTTGCTGTATTTGTTTTCATCCGCTTATTACAACGGCCTTTTTTCTTCCCGCTAGTAGGTAGTTGTTCTAGCGTTTCCAGTGCTAATGCTAGTTAGTGTAATACTATGCGTATAGATAAATTAGACATCCGTGAACGTTGCTGTATACCCAGCTACGTTGTTGTCTACATATGTTGGCGGGAAACTCGAGTCATGCAAGCTGCTTGCCGTTCTAGCAGCAGCTTTAGCGATGTGCAGCGAAGTGGCGGGCTGGCAACGAAGTAGGCGAGCAGTTTTCATATTTTAACGGGCAACGGAGGCGGTGGGTAAAGCATTATATAGATAGCCTATATGTAGGCACTACCCGAGTGCCAGTGCAATACATATAGGTGCAATACATAGGCAGAGCTGTGTGGGTGAACTGAGAGCCAATGACCGTTGGCCAAAACGGTATGAAGCCAAGTACGGTAGCTCCACATGCAAAAGGTGCCTTTGGCTTACGCTGCTGCTGTTGCCATCGCCGCCGTTGCCGTCGCCGCCGAACGGGGTTGCCGGTTGAGTGCGCTGGTTGAACTGTTGGGTTATATGTTGATGCTGCTGTTGTATGGCGATACAACATTATACAAAATAGGGTGGTAAAGACAGAAGAGAACGAGAATGGGCTGAAGGGGAGGGGAAGTGTGCGCGTGTGCTATCGAAGAAGTGTAGACACAACCATTGGGGAAATACGTTATTTGATGGTCGGTAACGGCTAGCTGAGTCACCAGTTAACCATGCATTTCTTCTGTATCCGTTTATGTACTAAAGGAATTTGATCGTTGACTGGTTGAGTGTGACCTGTTGTGATGAAATGTTTCGACAGTTAGACAGGAGCCTGGTCACAAGTGAATGTATATATTTGTATAATAACAAAATCGCCATTAAGGTGACTAATGTATACCTGCTACACGGGTTGAAATGTTTGCGTCGAGAATCGCATTTAACATTAGTACAGTATTGTTTCTTCTAATTATGTATTTGTTGCATTTTTCACAATCTTCGATTCCATATTAGTAATTTGTATGATTGCATTTCTTCTTGTCTATCTGTCTGTTAAATAAACGAAAACCATTACAGCATGGCGGAGGGTAACGGCGACGCAACAGTAGCGGAGAAGATGGACGTGGAGGAGAAATCCCGTTCACCCGACTATCAGAAGCTCATTAGTCATGGGCTTAATCAAGCTGTCGCTACCCAGTTGGATGACATTTTTAAGACGGGCAAACTTGCTTATACGGACTTGGACGAACGCGCCCTCGATGCCCTCAAAGAATTCCCTCAGGATGGCGCCTTGACCGTTCTCAAACAGTTCCTCGACTCGTCGCTCGAGCACGTATCGAACAAGTCAGCCTTTCTCTGCGGTATCATGAAAACTTATCGTCAAAAAAGCAAGATGCCTAACGCTACGACAACAGAAAGTTCCGTCAAAGGCCCAGATGAGGAAAAGATTAAGGCGATTCTCGAACGTAGCGGCTATTCGCTTGATGTAACCACAGGACAGCGCAAATACGGTGGTCCACCACCAGGGTTTGACGGGCAACCGCCCGCAGCTGGCTGTGAAGTTTTTGTGGGCAAAATCCCCAAAGACATGTTTGAGGATGAGCTGATCCCACTGTTCGAGAAGTGTGGAAAAATCTATGATCTGCGGCTGATGATGGATCCTCTTACAGGATTAAACCGCGGATACGCATTCATCACTTACTGCGAAAAGCAGGTAGAATATCTATTCGACTTTCATAAGTATTTGATCTTGTTTTGTACTTTTTTTGTCTAAATGACTTTTTTTAACTTGTTAGTTGTTGGTATTTCCTTCGATTCTCTTTCAAATACATTAGATATCAGAATATTTTAACTGATTGTTACGTATTTCTTGTGCAGGGAGCCCAAGAGGCGGTGAACATGTACGACAACTATGAGATCCGCAAGGGCAAGCACATCGGAGTGACGATTTCTATCAACAACCATCGCCTGTTCGTCGGTAACATTCCTAAGAACCGCGGACGCGACGAGTTGTTGGAGGAATTCACCAAACATGCCCCTGGTCTCACAGACGTCATTATCTACACATCGCCTGATGATAAAAAGAAAAACCGTGGCTTCTGTTTCCTCGAATATGAATCGCACAAGGCAGCTTCACTGGCCAAACGTCGCCTCAGTACAGGCCGCATTAAGGTGAGACCCGTTTTTTCGCTCATCTTTAGAATGCCGTAGAAGTGCTTTATGTACGGCCGCAGCACGCGGCTGTTTATCGATGAAAAAAATATGAAGACACACTTATAGCAAGAAGAGAAAGCGAATAGCGACGAATAAAGGTACTATAATAGTTATGACTAAACTACGATTAATAGCTTCAATTGAGTTTCAACGACTTATCCCGAGCTACCGGTTGACAGTAAAAAATTCGCGAACAATTAAATTGGAATATTCTACCATTACTAAAGTGATAATTAATGCATTCCTACTTAGTTGTCCATAAACGCATCAAATCTAACGCCAGCGCATTTCATCCGTTTCAACTTATACCCTTGAAACCAGGTGTGGGGCTGTGATATCATTGTGGACTGGGCAGACCCTCAGGAAGAACCCGATTCAGAGACAATGTCCAAAGTGAAGGTGTTGTATGTACGCAACCTCACTCAAGATGTGAGTGAGGAGAAGCTCAAAGAAGCCTTTGAGGAATTTGGAGGTAAAGTGGAACGCGTAAAAAAGATTCGTGACTATGCGTTCGTACACTTTGAGGAGCGTGATGAAGCGCTAAAGGCCCTGGAAAATAATAACGGCCGCGAGGTAAGCGAGTGCCATTAATAAATTTCCGCGCAACAAGTGTGGGATGAAAACGTTAATTCCAATTATATTCTTAATTATATAGGTCAATACAATTATTCATCAATGTCTGTTTTTGTTTTCTTTAGATTAGTAATTTCGTCTTGCTCGTTCATCCTGTGTATATATAGGTGGGCCAGTTATCGGAAAGACAAATGACAAATTAGGGTAAATAAAATCTCAGCTCTTCTTAGGCGTGTTTAAAGACTGATGTCCTTTGCGACTAGTAAAATAAAAGATACTAACTGCGTTGTCTGCCAAAACGATAAGCCTGCCAGTAACAGCATGGGCAACTCTTTATTTCGTTTAATTCATTTAACTTGTTTATGTTTTAGATGGGTGGTGCACCGATGGAGGTCTCCCTAGCGAAACCACCATCGGATAAGAAGAAGCGTGAAGAAGTCCTTCGTAACCGTGAGAGGCGCATGATGCAGATGTTCCAAAGCCGGGCAATATATGGCCGGGAGGCTGACTATCGTCTCATTGGCCACCTTGGACCTCATCCCCCACTTCCGCACCCACCGCCCGCACTTCGCGGCGCCGGACACCCGCCCAGGGGACCGCCTCATCCACATGCGCATGCTGGACGCGCACCGATTCCTCCGCGACCTTATGGCGGTTAGTATTGTAATTTCGTATGTTTGCGTGCCATTATATGAATCGTTCGTTGGTTGAAATGGTTTCTTTGCATCGTTATTATCAGTTTCGTTCAGTTTTATCCCCTAGACGATGCGTCTAGCCGGCGTAACGTCGAATTGGTTTCACAGCACCATATCAACCCACTTTATTCTTTGGTTGAATGTCTACAACAACTACATAGCATTTTGGTAGGTCGGTGTAGTTAAGTGGGTTAGTTAATACTCACACATTTATGTAAAATGTAACATCAGGTGTGAAGGGTTCGCTTTATATACGCATGTAGCCTTCATATCATATAATGGGTACCACTTGAACTATCAGCGTTTTCTTAACTTATTAACGACAGTAGGCTTCAACAAAACCAATCTGTCATAAATGAAACTTCGAGCCCAACAAACCTTATAGCTAATAAGCCTCGTGCCAGCGTATCTAGTGACTTAACTGTTCTTGTATATATATATATGTATATATATATATATATATATATATAGACCTGATATATAAGAGAAATATGAGGATTGTAGATTCATCGGTGTTGCTTCTGATAATTACTATAAATCCAGCAAGATATCTACGCTGTGTCAAAGATGTCATGGCCTTATCGCTTATAGTTCTGTTCTGTGATAGCCGCCGTATGCGTATGCGGGTGACCCTGATGAATCGCTCTTTCACTTGTTTTGCATGAAAGCTTGTATAGACGGATGAATAGATGAATGAATGAACGAATGAACGGACAGGCAGATAGCTGGTCCTGTTGATTTTTCGCTCCCCTTTCTGGGTATCGTTATTGATTTTAATCATTGTAATTGATATTGGTGTATATGTTAATAGTAAAAACAATGATAAGCCTCGCAGTCATTTTTACGTTGTAGTCTACGTATTTGATGTAATTTTGTGTTCATGGTGTTCTCTCCCCTTTGCTTTTGTTCTTCATGTTGATATCGCTGTGATCCGTTGTGGTACGAACTGTGTTATGCTACTATTGTTGCTGCTGCTGGCGCGTTGCTGTTCACTAACCTCGAACTCGTTGTGGTTCTTCTGATCTTCTTCCTCTTCTGCTTTTTTGATCACTTTGTTTCTTTTTTCATCTTCGCGTCCCCTTTTTCCGTCCTCTCTCTTTATCTTTACCCTCCTGATCGATCAATCTTCTTATCCTTATCTTTTTCTTCCTTTCCTTGCTCCTTTCCTTTGTTCTTTCTCGATTCCCTACGAACGATGCTATTGTATACAGATTACTACGGCTACGGTTTCGCGGGCGGCAATGGCTACGGTGGGCCGGGGCCGGAATTCTACGAAGACTACTACAACTATCCGGACTACTATGACTACTCAACGTCACATAGCCGAGGCCGCACCAACGACGGCCAGGGCGGCCGAGTTCGCAAGACCAACACGTCGGGCGGCGGCAGCAATCAGAACAGCAACTCGAAGTCCGCCAACAAGAGTCAGGCAGCCTCAAGCTGATCTGCTTACCGCCACAGCGCCGCCGGCATCAATATTCATCAACAAGAACAACAACAACATGCAGGAGAACGCTTAGCGGCGGCAGCGACAACGACATCAATGGCGGCGGGGGCGTCCGCGGCCGTGGCGGCGAAAGCGTCTGCTTTTGCTGCTGCGGCTGCAGCCTCCGCAAGGGCGGCGGTGGCGGCATCAGCAGCGGCAGCAGCTTCTGCAGCGCCCGCGGCTGCGCTAGCGGCTGCGGCACGCATGCAGCGGCAGCACCAACAGGATCTGCGTCGGCGATTCGGCGGCAGTTTCGATAGCGGCGTCTATCCCGGGAGCATGACGGGCAGCACCGTGATCAGCAGAATGATGAACACGAGAAGGAGTACTATTCGTAACAATTACAACAACTGCAGCAACAATATAAATAATAACCACTACTACAGCAACATCGTCAATAATAACAACAATATCAACAGAGTTAACAGCTACAACACGACATCGGTATTCGGCAATCGTTGCACGACCTGCGTGTCATTAATTGGCAATGGTACAATTAGTGACTGTTGTCGCCGCTGCTTCTTGCGTTGTTCCGGTGGAAGCAGTTGTCACGGCTGCATTTCCCCGTTCACATCAGCGTCGGCGGCTGCAGCTGCGAAAGTTACTGCAACTGCAGCCTTGCTGACGTATTGCGGTGGCGGCGGTGACAGATGGTGGTGACCGCACGGATCGACGGACGACTAGCTGACGAAAAGACAGACAAACAAAGAGAGCGAGAGAGAGAGAGAGAAAGAGAGAGCGAGCGAGCGAGAGAGAGAGAGAGAGAGCGAGAGAGAGAGAGTGAAAAGACAAAAATTGAGGGAACTTTTTGTGGGAATTGAGGAATCTGAGTAATGGAAAAGACAGCGCTGAACCAAGTTACCGTTCGTTGAAACCGATCATATAATGTCTTTGTATTCTATTGATGATTATATTGATGATGCTGATGATCCTTGACGGTCATTTACCGTCTCCTACCGTGTGTGGAGGGTCGTCATTTGATGGGATCGCGCACAAGCTAATTCCTACTCGTCGTCCATAACAAAAACACTAACAGAAAGTCAGACCAAGAAAGAGAAAAGAAATGACAGATTGTATTAGAGGGAATACGACGGGCATCATCTAGACGAGACACAGGCAGTCTCTGCTTTGTCTTGTCATCTGATTTTGTCATTCATAGATGTCACTGCTCGACCGCCCGACCGACCGCCCGCCCACGCGCCCGTCGTGTTCGCCTCTACGATTTACACTTGACATATGCTTGTGAGGTGCGAATGTATTTGACACTATGAGCAAATGAGCCTTGTGTATGTTCTGGCGCGTACTCGCGTAGCGGTCTACGCGATAATAATGATAAAAGATTAAAACGGCTACACCGATGGTGATGATGGAAACGGGACGGGTAGATTTGGACACGTGCGGAGCTGGCTACGGAAACGACGATGCGTCGCCAGTCAAGCCTTCCCTCCATACAGCCGAGATAATAAAAGCAGTATCATGATCACCGTAATTATTTGACAGAAAACTACAACAGCCTCAAAAGCCACAGCAGAATCTTCAGTTACTTGGCATGCACTTGAAGACCAGTAAAACAATCTTTTTCATCGTCAATCCGCCCACATTCTAAGATGGCGCTTATATATACTATAAGATAGCTAAAGATTGTTGATAAAATTATGGCAACTGTCACTACAGTTCGAAATCAGTGAAGACAGAAATGGATGACAGGGAAAAGTAACAGCCGCTGTCATCGTGGCCGTGGTTAGCACTAGTGAACTGTGTGATTCCCTCCCGACCCACCAGTGGCGCTAAGCTACCTCAGCTCGAAAACGCTAATACCTACTAATTGTAAGCTGCTGCTTGTGCCGCTGGCCTGCTGTAGTAGTTGTCATGCGGATGAAAATTTTCTGACCCACAGGCAAATATTCAAACAGAGAAGGTGAAAAAGAAAGGGAAAAGGGATAACAATGTGACACGATAGATTGATCAATCACCGGGTCGATCGCGACAAGCACGATCACTGCAACGACGACGACGACGACGACGACGACGACGAACCATCACCGCTGCCCACTTCCGCTCCCTTTATAAATATTACCACTGTATATTATTACAAATTGAGACGTACTCGTTCTGCTGTTTCGAAAATATTGATAATAATGATAATGATGAAACATAAGGATGGTGATGATATGATAACCATGTCCATTATAACGATGGTGAATGACAGACGGGGCAGGAGGCAAAACTACTGATGCTGCTACTGGTGCAGTTAGATGTCGTTTACGACAGGACATGGCATGGTAGCCGTTCATTTGCCCACGCAGATGTGACTATCACGACACATAGCCAGCAACAACGTTATGAACAAACATCCGATTCTGAACCATTCTGAACCCCTTTCCGACTCCATGTGCAGTGAAAGAGTCTCCTCTCGGCAACTGAATTCGCCAGGTCTTCTTCCGTCCGTTTCCATGGCTCATTCCTTGTCAAAATGTTTTCTTGCTTCTTTCGCGTGATCCCTGCCGTTGTAGCTCACCACATGCCACTGACCGCCATCCGACTTCATTCATGACAGGCGAATAGCAATCAGTTCACGTTTCTAATTGAGCTTTTTATTAGTGTCATGTATAGATACACATTGCTCCTGCCAACCAATGCCATAATAATACGGGTTTTAATACCATGACTATGTTCCTCTATAGATATGACATTTTTTATTGACGTAATTAGGAACAGAGCAACCACGAAGGAGATAGCAATGATTACGACCGCAGTATGGTTCTTACGTCAGATTAGATTAGTAGCGGTAGTAGCATGGGCAACCATTACTTTGGCGCTTTTACCTTATTTATAATAGATAATTCTACCATAAGTCTACCGTTGTGATTTGACTGATCTATCGAACGACTGATTATTAACCATAGCTATCAATATATGTCCGTACACGATGTAGCTGTGTATATTATACCATTATTACTGTAGTAAAATTTATAGGCGAAAAGATCCACTAATGCTTTGGCTATGTTTGGTGCTCAGCTCATGTGCTCACCTTTTTCATGCAAAAACAATGATGGTTTCTTAAAATTTGGATAAAGTCAAAGGCGCACGTAAATAATTAAGCTGTAACTGTGCGCAGGAATCATGAGTACTTCTCATTAGATCGTAACTAAGCGACAAAGAGCCTAAAAACGATGCTCTTTGATGTACGGATACGAGAAGCCCGCAACTTATATATACATATATATATAAGGTTATATAGGATTTTTTGGCTGATAGTTTTAAAATGGCATTTGAAATTTGGGAGGAGCAATGTAATCGGTGCGATCGCTCGGACAACTGAACCTGCGACTAAAAAACCGGGGGGGGGGGTCGCTGGTCCAAACCCCGCCATCGACATTTATTATACAGCAGGTGTCATTAAATAAAAAAGAAAATAATATAGTTTGTGCCGTATAAATCGTTACCCACAATAAAATATATCAATATACGCAATAAGGTATGATAAAAAGGGACAGCATGCTTAACTGGTGGTTAACGGTGCAGGGGCGAGGGTCTGAAGGAAAACGCAGTTCAGAAAAAGGCCTGGAGCCTACACGGTTTAGTCACACGGGTACCAAGGTGATATGCATACAACATTAGCATAGTACTAACGTAAAACAAAGGAATGAATGTGCTGGTAGGACGTGAGGAGGACCGAAAAAGGACAGGTTCGTTCTTTTTCGAATTTGAAAAAGTGTTACAATCATTAAGATATCTGACGCTAAGGTTAATAGCTTGTGGAGTAGACTCGTTAGACTGCAGAGTTCTCAAACTGCCTCGGTCAATACGCTAGTGTTTGTAGCATTACTGCATCTAGATGAGCATCGTATCTTTGTAAAGACCTTCGAAACCAACTGAAAATAACACTACGGTCACTATGGATTTATAATTATGTAGATAAATGGGTAATTTCAAACGTGCAGACATCGACCTTTAACGCTAACTAATCGACAAGATTTAAAGAAACACACGTCTGGATGAAATGACAAACAAAAGTCGAAGCTAGGACATCAAAGCATCTCCAGCAAGACAACTATTGAACGCTGAATTGCAACGGTTCTGCAGGTCGGGCCCATCCCGATGGTGCAGGCAAGTTTCTTCTGATTGACCACAGGCACATTTCTTTAAATATTAATTATGTTATCGCGTTAATTGCCAGCTGTCATTGGTTAAGCTTATCTCCTTCCATTATTAACTCTCTAGTTCTTATCCGCTTTAATGGATTTATGAGTAACAATCCTCTCATTTATAACGTTACCTATAGTAAACTAACTTGTTTTCATGCCAGCTTGCTTTGTTCAAATATAACTGAAAAGGAACGAACTTCATGCGCAACAGAATTCGTTAACAAAATGATTACAGGAGTGTTCGAATGAAGTTTACTCCGAAGCGTCGAATGTAAATGTATTGTGTTAATATCGCCAACGTTTTTTGTTTATAAACATTATATAAATGTGTGTATGGCGGAGCTGAATTATGCGAGAGAGAACAATTGTGCTAGCTTTCCGTACACTGATTAGGTGAAAACGTTTGAAAAAATAATGATTAATAAGCCTCTCTTGCTTCTGCGTTTTGTTCTATTTGCCTCTATAGGAATGGTGTGGCAAAACAACGCCAGAGTTGGATACAACCATATGCAGCGATTCCCTACCCCGCTTCGATTTAGCAATAGGGGGTCGACTAAACAGTTAAACGGTGCCTATGCATGGGGGGCAAATTATCCCTTCCAGCAACGAAAAGCCCCGCTACGCGGAGCAGCGCCGTTGTATTTCAATCGCACACGTTTAACCGCATAGAGGATTGCTGTCTTGCGCCTGTCAAGACAACCGGTAGCTGTGCGTGTCGACCATTAAACCTACAGTTTGTTCGTATGTTAGGACGTTTCGAAATACGTAATCAGGCCAACGTAACCGAACATAGCAAAACACCTGATCAGGACAGTATATAATAATTTAATAGTGTACGTTAAATCTGCTGAACGTTACACCTCTAATATTCAGAAACCAATAGATACATTAGAGGTGAGGAATTTATATTGAAAACAGGAGCATATCATTATGTCCTCAAGGAGAATTCTGGCAAGTACAACTCGGTTGTCGGTTAAAGGGGGACATACATGGATTTTCTGCTTTTGGAAAGTGCATGTATGTAAAGAGCCCACCCAACATCGGGGCTCTTGAGAAGCTCGAGTTAAAAAAAAAATTAGAGGAACAGCGGCTGAATGGTGAGAGAGGTTTGCTTCCTTCCTTGTATAGTCGGTGTCGTGTACAGCATAGTAGTATGACAACATCCATCGTATTATTATTATTACATTATACATTGTAATCACACAATAAAGACACGGAACGAGGTACAGTAGAAAGGGCAACAACAATCGATTTATTCGTAGTAATGTGTCATTCGTATAATTAGTCTCATTATACAAATGTAACGGCCTTTTGTGTGCCTACACAGTTCGTCCGCCTACTTTGCAAAAACATGGCCAAATTCGAATCCGTCTTCGTATTCTAGTACTGGAAAATTTTTGTTGCTGTTGCCATTTCTGGTGTTCATGCTTTGACCCCGCCCTCCGATCGGCCCCCGCCCTGAAATATATGTATATATATATATATATATATATATATATATACGTGTATGTAGGGGAGTAAATGCTTCCAAATATGACGGCGGACAACGTACATCACATCCGTTTGTGATTTTCATGGGTAGAGTGGTGACTGCGTCAGCCACACGTATTGAGGCAGCAGCAGACGACGATGATGATGATGATGACAACAACAACAACGTATGCAGAAGGGAATCGAGGAGAAAACGAAAAAAATGAGACAGTTTGAAGAACGTCGATACCGTTGAAATCACCTCGTGTAATTGGTCAGACCACAGTTCTGACATTGGGCAGCTCGCGCACAGCCGACGCGGTGGCGGGGTCAGAGTAAGGTGTTGTGCAGGAGATTATGAATATGATGGTAATGACAGTATAATGATATTATTCGCTTTAAACATGAATGATAACAATACTGAACAGACAAACAGACGAACAGACGAAACAAACAAACAAACAAACAAAAAATAAACATGCACAAAGGTGACGATGACTGATTAATTCATACCAAACAATATACGTGACCAGACCGAACCGGAGAAACTTCGAAATGGGAGATGTAGACGAAGCAACAACTACAATATGATAAAAAGAAACCTTATTGCGTGAAAAAGAAGATACGCAAAGATCGAGAGAAAAAACGGAACATGTGGACGACGTCAGTAAGACTAAACATAATAAAAGTTAGTGGTCAATGAAAAAAAAATAATGCTGATCGTAGCGTGAACGAAACAAGTCGCGTAGAACAAATCGAAAAAGAAATAAAGAAAGAAAGTCGGAAGAAGAAGAAGAAGAAAAAACGCATACAAACTATAACAGCGTTGAGTTGTCCAGCGCAGGGGATAAATAGGGGCACGATCGAGCCTCACTGTTCCGGAAGGCTCCCGGCAAAACAAAAAAAATGGAACTAAAACCGAAACTGAACTTAAAACTGAAAATCCATCGGTTTTTTTTTGATGCCAAGTTACAAACAGTTAACATTATACCTATATCTATATACGTCTAACTAATCTAATCGATAACTGAAAATTATAAGCCAGATAGAGCCAACCAAGCAAAAAAACCAATCGTGACATCATCAAACAACTACGAAATGAAAATGAGATAGCAAATAAGCTCATTATAATAATCATACTATATAATTATAATATTCATAATATCGTATTCGTTGTCCTAATGCGCGTTGTTCATTCGATGGTGACGCTATGATAACAGTATCGATCGATCCATGTTGATGGTGATGACAATTGTAATAGTAACTCGCTGACGATGAACGGCGATGATGGCGGCGATAATTACCACTACTACACACAGTATCATAATAATTATAATGATAATGACGATACAGTTATTATACTGATTATTAATTATGATTAAATACAACTACAATTACTACCTAATATGAATTCTACCTATCTATCAATGTAACTCTATTAATCTACGAATGATAAACGAACTCAAACAACCAGCCGATAAAGAAACAAAACTCTATAATAATGAATATACAATATAAACAAAAAAAAACACTGTTTTTCGAGGAGCAGCAGCTGAAAAATTCATGCAACAGAACGCAACAACAAACACACACAAGAACAACAACACCAATAACAACATACATGACATTATTGACGATACATAAACATCATAATACTGATGAGAGGTAAATATGTAAGCGATACACGACGAGAAGCGAAT